CTTTCTCTCGGCAGGAGAGAGGATATTGTTTGGCTTTTCAGGTCATGTGGTCTCCCAAGCACTCAATAAAAAGAAGCCACAGGCAATGCAGAAACAGGCAAGGCTGGGTCCTGGTAAAACTTAAAAAAAACAAACCCCAAAACAAAACCAAACAAAAACACAGACAGACAACAACACCAAAAAACAGACAATCGATCACAGTTTTCTAAGTTCCTACCTAAATCTTAGTCATTGTGGCGACATTATATGGAATGGGAATTTTTTAAAGTCCGACAAACCACTGGTTAGCGGTTTCTGTTTTTAGCACAGCGGCTCCCCTCACCCTGTCTGTCTGCCTGCCTTTGCCCACACCCATGTGAGTGCCAGCCTCCCTCCTGTCAGCCTGTTCACACACTGAGTCTTGAGTTTCCTCCCTCCTTCCTACTCACTACATGCCTGCGCCTCCTCCTCCTGACTACCAGCAAGGTTTCTGCACTTCTCTCCCGCCAGGAGATGGGCTGATACTCTCAGTCATCCATCACACTCTTCTCCACATTCCTAGTAATCTGGTCAGCAAATGATGTACTGAGCCGCCAAGTGCTCTAGTCGGGGCTCTACAGTCTGTGCTTCATAAGTACCTGTGGAGGGAGTGAGCGAGTGGCCGTTTACTACCTGCTTCAAACCAAACGCTCCCAGCTTGCACGTTTGTTCTCTTCCACACCGTGTCACTTGAAGGACTGAACAAGAAAAAAAAAAGTACACAGAAACCCCTTATTCTTTGTAGTAGGAATTTCTAGGCTCAGTCAAAGTGCACTGAACTCATTAACGGGTCCACGCCACCAATTGCCCCTTTCTTATAGAACCTGCTGGATCTCAGCACAAACCACATGGGTACTGCTTGTCCTCAGCAAGGTGAACTGTCGCGTGACCTGTGTTAGTCACCACGCCGTCAGCCTTGAGTTCCAGGCAGAGGCAGAAGCAAGGTGCTGTGCAACCATCCTGCCCCACCCACCCGGTTAGTTTCCCAGAGGTGCTGGGAGAAGGGAGCAGAAAATAGCCTCATACATCAGAAGTTATTTTCTTGCAGTTCTGGAGGTTAGAAGTTCAAAACCAAGGTGTTGGCAGGGTCTTCTGTGAAGATGCTCTCTTCCCGACTCTTCTGGGTTCTGGAGGCTAGCTATCGGGGAGGAGGGGCTGACAGATGGGTCACATCAGTCTCTGTACCCAGTATCTCACTCCTATCACAGAAGTCAGGGAGATAGCTTGGTCAGCAAAGTGACTTCATCTCAAGCATGATATCCCGAGGTCAGTTTCCAGAACCCATATAAAAGCCAGGTGTGGCGATGAGTCTGCAATCCCAGCAGTGGTGAAATGGGAGGCTGAGACAGTCAGAGTCCTTGAGGCTCACAGACCAGCTAACCGGACCTATGTGGAAAAGTTCCAGTCTAGTGACCGACCCTGTCCCAGACAAAACATAGAAGCCACCTGATACATATGCTGTGTGTGCACGAACCCGCACATACACAAATACGCACACATGCGCGCGCACACACACACACACTTTCTTTCTTTCTTTCTTTCTTTTTTTTTAACAAAGGTATCAATCCTTGGATTTTGGACACATTCTCATCTAATATGACTTCAAGTTTGGTTGATTGTATCTGCAAAGATCCTACTTCCAAATAAAGCCACAGGTACCTGCGTCTAGAATTTCAACATAACTTTCTAGGTGATATTTAGTGTGACCCTAGATTGGAAATCATAAACCAGCTCAAATAAAGCTGAGGTCCCAGAGTGACTGTTGTAGATCAGATATGTGGCAGCTGTAAGGCAGTATACTTCTCTGGGGCCATCTCAGTTCAGTCCCATATTCTTGGAGGAAACAGCAGGTGAAGCCCTGCCCCAGGTCTCTTTCCCTCTCGGCTTTTGCTGATGACATTCATGGTCCATATAGATTAGGTGCATCTGCACTGTGCGCCATTGACTTGTAACCCGTCTCTGTCCCTGCGCACGAGATGTACTCCTGTTGCTGTGTAACTGTTGTTACTCAGTTTTCAAGTGCTGGCTAATGCAAGAAGGGTTTTCAGGAAAGTGGGCTCCTAGCAGTAAGTATATGTGGTCTAATTAAGTGGGCATGACAGAAAACAGCAGTATCAGTGTTCAATGAACCTATCAGAGAACACACTGTCAGATTTAACGAGATGTTCCCTTTGCATGCCCCCCAATCTATCCCAGACTCAGTGCAGAGCACTTTACAGGTGCTCCCTTTGAGCCCCATGACAGTCAGACCCCAGGAAGCTGGTATCTTATACTCATTTCATAGGAAACAAAACAGACTTTAAGGGGTCATAGGGCAGTCTGGTTGCTAAGACTCCAATCCAGGACACCCCAACTCTCAAACATGGAGGTCTTTGGACACTGTTGTATCACACTGTCAAATCAGCTAAGCAGCGGTGGCCTGCAAGGCTGCCAATCTACATGCTGAACCCCCAAGTTTTGGACCTCATCCAGCAGTCGTTCCTGGCGAACTTGACCATGTGACTGATCATAACAGGTTGAGGTTGCAGTAACGAGACAGAACTTCAGTTTTTTTGTTGCTCCATCACTGCATCTTTTCTTTTTAAAGAATTGTAATCAGACTTGATGTGATCACTTGCCTGCTAGTCCAAAGAAGCTGTGTTGAAGAGTTTTCATTTCTTCTCTAAAGTATTAAAACCGTTAAAAGGTCTCCAAAGAGATTCAGGGTGTAGCCTAGTAGTAGAGTGCTTGCCCATGGTGTCCATACCCTTGGTTCCAACCTCAGCACAGGAAAACAAGAGCCCCAAACCAAGTGTATTTTGAAGCATTTCCAACCTTGATTTAACAGTCTTAGAAGACGGTTTTCACAAACAGCCCTGTAAGAAGCCAGTCACAATGGAAGGCTAGCACTTCCCTGTGTAGACATGGCCTGGTTATGCTTGGAGAAGTAGGGAATACCCAGTTGGCATTCAAAAGTAACAAATATGAACCCGGTCATTAAAAAAAAAAAAGTGGCAGGAATGTTGAAGTCCATGTTGACTGGTTTTTACATTCCCCCCTTTCCCGGGCTGCACTCCCATGCCTTGGTTGGCATGGTGACTGGAAAAGGAAACTTTCCGCCAGCCTGTCACTTGCTACTGTTTCCATTTATTTTACTGTGGATCCACTTTTTTAACAGTTTTCTCAAAGTTAAAAATCAGTTTGATCCCGTTTGTGTTTTCGGTCCCAGGATGCTTCTTGAACTTGAAAACATGGATACAAAAAGGCTTTAAAACTCAGCCAAGGTCTGGGGTTTGAAATACCCAGCTGTTTAACATTCAAATAATTCCCTGGCCCTTTGTTCATTTTTTCCCCCTCTACATTTCGTCTGAATGCTTTGGCATGGGGGAGACCACAGTCTGAAAGTAACTGGCCCAGCTCTCCTTACTGTATTGATTAAAGAGGCTGAAAAGGTCCATCTGCCTTTCAGCGGTCTGTGGTCCTAAGAGACACGGGAAAATCTGAGGTCCCAAGTATTCTAGGAGTAAAGTGAGAGCCCCCCCCCCTCAGAACAAGTCTATTTATTTTGTTATTTTGAGACAGAGTTTCCTCCGTGCAATAGTCCTGGCTGTCCTGGAACTTCCTAGGTCTACCAGACTGACCTTGAACTCACAGAGATTCGCCTGCCTCTGCCTCCAGAATACTGGGATTATAGGCATGTACCACCGCTGCCTGGCTAGAACAGGTCAGTTTGATCATCCTTTAGAAGCAAGTAAAATGAGATTATTGGAGCCACATTAGGTACTCAGAGGGCAAAGTTGTCTCTTGCCTCGTGGAGTGTAGAATCCAGCAGACACACAACAGTTATTGACCTGAACCAAGGCATCACGTATAAGATCTGGTGTTTCCTGAGCTGGAGAAGAGAAGTGGTAGCGAGCCGCCTTCCCAGGGCCTCAGGCTGGCAGAACACATTGGGAGTTCTCTTTTTCCCCTTGGCAGCATCCTGTTCTGCCTGAAGCTGGCTGGAAGCTGCAGAGGGGAGGGAACGCACGCACGTGAGGGAAATCAGGGCGGAGAGGGTCAGGAACAGATGTGGGCACCAGGGGAAGTCATTTCAAAAAAGTAAATGAGGCTCCCTCAGCTGGAGGGGCAGCCAAGGCCCTCCACTTTGCAAGGGATGTGGATTTGGGGTGTGCTTGGTGCTTTGTTCTTCCACTCTACGTGGAAGAGTTCTTCCACGCTTCCCGCTTTGTGTTTTTGTTTGTTGTCTGTCATTTCTAAGTTATGCCACCACAGTTCAGAGTCGGTGGCAGTACCTGGTACACTCAGAGCGCTCACTAAAGGCATGCTGAACAAAAGCGTACAAATACAGGGCAGTTGCGTCCTCCGCGCCCGGCACGTCGTGGGCACCCTCTGCACATCTGTATAGCAAATGATGTGCTCTGAGAGTGTGGGGGCTGAGCACGTGGAGCTCTGGAAAGCAGGACAGCGAAGGAGGAGGGTTTCAGAGACTACAAAAGCAACAGGAAGGGTGGCGAAGGCTGCGGCGCCCCGCGGGGGGCTCTGCCCGCGTGGCGCCTGTGCCCATG